CGCAGTCAAGGAACAATTATTACGCCGACGCGCCTGCAAGTCAGCGCCCTGGAAGAAACAAGCAAAAGCAGCATACTTCTTACAACAATCAGCCCTAACCCACCGTTTGTTCATCACCACATCCACTTCCCCTGCTTCCATTACTTGCGCAGCTCTGCCAGGCAAAGATCTGATCCACTTTGGTGTGTGGCCTTGACAGTCTGCAGCATCACATGCAATTCTGTTGGTGCATGGTGTCAAACAAGCGTACCACCAAAGTTGCACGGTGTCGAACAAGTGTACCACCAAACTTGCCGATCTGCTCTTGCAGGCTGTGCAGGGCACTTTGGACGGTGTCTAGTATGTTAGTAGACACCAGTGAAGCTATGCTTGTAGTCACTGACGCTCACCAAGCTCTTTTGGCCCAGATCATATCACACATTTCCGCATAGTCTTGCACGGTGCAGAATGGCGCGCAAACCCACAAAGCGGGAACTTATGCGCAAAGAGAGCGATAAGAAGCGTTGAGCAGCATGGGCACCAACTGAAGAAGTAGTGCAGCTGTGTCCAGGCAGTCAAGATGAAGAAACACCGCTCGGCAAGGACAATAGCATGTTGACGGTTGTGAATGCCGCAACTGGGGCAACCATACTACAGCGCTTGCCAACAGCGTCAATGCGCTCACACCGCAGGGTCATTGCACTGGCAAAGGAGGGACGTATGGTATGCAATGACTTGTGGGAGGCAGTGGTACGGTCAGGAAAAAAGGACGTCATCTTTTACAAGCGGACTAAGAAGAATGCAAAGAAGCAAGGCAGGAGTCAGTCTCTTGCGGTGGGTTTGATGCGGTACACAGCAGGCAGAGGAAAGAATGTGAGCGCAAAGTGGGGATGGACAATGGCGCACGAGGTGGCTCCAGTAGAAGCAGCGGCGATGCTCAGATGGCTGAAGGCATTTGTGGAGCTCACGGTCGAGACACACTTCAGGCAAGGACACATTGCAGAGGACTTTGCGGCGCGTATCAAGGCAAGAGAGGCATTGCGCGGGGTGATGCAGTGTGCACTTGGTGTGGACGGTGCAAATCAAGTGCATCGGTACTTTCACACCGGGGAAGTCATACAGGGTATAACTGGCGGCTTTCACCTTGACCCACATGATGATGTGCCAAACATACTGATCAATCTTGGGAGCGCCGTGGAGTTGCAGCTTGCAGAGTACGGCAAAGTGCACATGGATGTTGCGACCGTGGTTCTCTTCAATAATAGGGAACTACATCATGCGGTACGCTCTGCACCATCAAGCACAGCAGAAGAGCGGTGGGCACTCACACTAGGAGCGTGGCATGCGGCACTTGAACCAGAAGATGCACAGGAATAAATGCTTGCACTGCGCTTGTGTCTGTGATGCGTGCATGTGTGGGTGCGCAACTTGAGTCTGGACGTGTGGCAGGCTGTAACAATGCAACTCAGCAGTGATAGCTGGATTCCTCACCGGCAAAGCATTTGGTGAGCAGAACAGTGCAGCGCATGCGTACTCAGCTAGCGTCCAAAGAGAATAGATGGTAACAACAGTGGCTGCTGCGCCATCACAATGAGGCAGACAAAGCAAAGACTGAGGTGCTTGGTGCGCATGAAAGAGAGGAATGAGCTGATGTGCACTGGACTGGGCAAGCAAGACAGCATGTGTATGAGGACAGGCTGTGTGCATGCAAAGAGACATCAGTGATCAAGAGTGGCAAAGCGCGCAGGGTTAGGGTTAGGGTTAGGGTTAGGGTTAGGGTTAGGGTTAGGGTTAGGGTTAGGGTTAGGGTTA